AATGAGGTGAGACTAGAAAAATGGGGGTGGTACTCGAAAGCCTGAATACCATGTACGTACACTAAGCCCGAACGTGTGATGTCGGACTTCTAAGTCCCGCACATCACGCTATAAGAGACGCAATTACGCATGATCTCTTACGCATGCATATGATATGATATGCTACAATATGTGTGATGATATGAGTCATATGATATGAACAATTTGTAAACAATATGAATGGATAAATATACTTTATTTTATTTTGGTGAAATCTGATAAAAATATCATTTAATTAAGCTACGGGGCTCGGAACGGTCGACCGTTTAGCACGGCGGTCGACCGTGCTATATTTCAACTCATCGGATTTCTGGATCACCGTGACGGTCGACCGTGGTTGACCAGCGGTCAAACGTTGTTGACTTGCTGGAACGGCGGCGTTCTGCTGGGCTGGCGACGGTCGACCGTTTTGGGGGAATTGTGTAACGGCGGACCAATGGGTCTATTGTGTAACCCTTCCGATGCCCACAAGATTAAGGTGAACAAACCTTCGAGAGTGTCAACTCCTCCGGGAAGAACGATAAAAGCTTCCACGACATGATTCATCTCAAAATATTTTTAGTGATTGCTGGAAACTGTGTGCTCTACACCGTATGTAGGTCCGTAGACCCGTCGTGTCGCTATGTACCCAAGAATGAAACCTCTAACGAGACCAGCATTGGTAAAGACTGTTGAAGCAACAACTTCTTGAAGACCAACACTACCTCCTCCATAGGCAAGTTTAATCTTTCGCCTTATCAATTCCCTTTCTAAATCTACCGCAGTAGCCATAAACTTTGGATTTCTACCAAGAGAATGACTGCCAAGTATACAAATGAATCTTATGGTGTAAGGAACTATTCGAGAAGTTCCTTCCATAATGTGAGAATGTGAAATACTCTTCCCATAATCGTAATATATATAGTCTCTTAAACCTGACCATTGATGGAAAAGTAATTATCACCAGCCAAAATACGTACAGAAAAGTGGATTTGCTTCAACTGTTTACAGACAAAAGTGTACTTGTCAATACTGTAATCTGTTGACAATGTGATATGTTGAGACTAATGAATAGTTAGAATCGATGTCCTGAAACATGTTCGAATCCGAGATGAAAAGTCAAAACGGCTATTCCTAATACAATGACCTCTTGAGTAACTTCCAAAGAGTGAAACATTGAAGGAAGAAAACCTATGATTAATAACGGTAATTCGCAAACACTATCTTTAATTACTCAAACTTGCTGTGTTAACTGCACTCTTGAAACATCTCACTTGATCAATCTTGAAAAGATTGAATTCCATTATTTGTATCAAAATAATAAAACCACGATTCTTCATTAAACGAAAAGATGCTTTATAATACCAATCTTTGAAAACTATACCTTGTGGAATACGTGACTCGATCACAATAGTAAAACTACCCTGACTTGAACATTATGTTGAACCTCTCTTTGTGGACCACAAAATGATCAATGCGATTACATTATCTCTGAAAATTATTAACGATGATCTTACTGACCAAACAAACTTCGTTATAGCCCTAGCAAGGAAATGTATGTGCGAAAACCAGAGAAGAAATGACGTCACAAGATCAAGCTGAATCATTCAAGCGAAAATCCTGAACGTATATACGATGTTAGTATAAGAGTTGGTTATGAATTCGTGAATTGAATCACGTACTGAAGATCTTCTCTTTTTCCCTCGAAACGAGATCAACCATAGTGTTACAATCAAACCTGTGACTATCATGAACGTATCTTGATATACTTCTAAAATCGAAGAAAAAGTTGAAGACGACAAGATGAGACGCCACTCGAACATCAACATCTATGTGTGTGAATTAATACAAAGACTCATTGAAAATAATGAGAGCTACCATGAAGTGAACGAAGAAATGTTTCTGACGTAAGATCGATGATGACAAGCTACTGTACAATCAATCGATAATACTTCCTCATAAATGATGATAAAATTCCATATCTTGAAAATTATGAACCAATAAAAGCCATTTGATATTACTTACGAGTCATTGCTGAACTATGTGAACAAGTTGAAGATGTTTTGGATGACTTAGAAGATTACGCTATGACGTATGAATTGAAACAAACTCTAAATCCCCAACTATACTATCGTGAAGGTGTTGATTCGAAACTGCAAAGGCTATTGAAGAACTTTCAAATCAAAGAAACAATGTTGTTGACTAATGACGTACAATCGAGATTTGTGAATGATTGAAGTGATGTGCAAAAATGACAAGTATGCTCCAAAAATACGATGTTATACCCTACTAAGGAACCTTACTTGTCGGTACTTAAGGATTAATGCCTTGCTTAATTAAAGATTGTTAACCTCTTGAAGAAAGAACGAGTTTTCGAGAATACGTATCCGTGTGGATGATGACGTAATTATAATTTAACCAAATTAACATGACACGGTTATGATTAAGTGAGATCACTACGAAATATAAAACGTTTAGCCTTAGAAGAATTTCGAGGACGAAATTCCTTTTAAGGGGGGGGGGGGAGAAATGTAACGCCCCAAAACATACACTAGAATTATTAATGAATAAATATTCAATTAATCAAATTTTTTTTGAATAAAATAAATTGTTGTTGGGCTTTAGGCTGAAATAAAATATGTATTGATATCCAATAAATATATTTGGGATAAATTTCAGAGAGATAAATCCAACATGTTGACTTATTGTGTGATCTTAATTGGTAACCTGAGTACAGACCCAAATTAAGAATAAATGGAGAATTTGTTTATTAAGTGAACTTTGAAATTAATTCTTGAAATAAACCATGAGAATAAATTAAATTGAGAACCTTTTGTGATAAAGGTCAATAAAGCCAATTTTGACTCTGTCAAAGTCAAACACCCAAAAATATGATCTCGGAAAAAGTATTACAAATAAATGTAAAAATTATATCGTTGGATAGAGTTTATCTGCCCGATCGCAACGGTGCAAACGAAATTCAATTTGAAGAAATTTGAACCAAAAAGTGTAGCCCGATTGGGACCAAAATTAGTCCCAATCAGGTAACCGCGTATAATATCGCACTATCGCCGAAAGCAGATCACTCAATTGGGAATCCTACGCAGCAGCAGCTCAACATCTTGTGTCTTCTCTTCCTCTTCACCATTATAAAAGGGAAACTCTATTCTTCTCATTTCTTCACCAATCTTTGTAAAATTAGTGTCATAATGTTCGTGAGAGTGAGTAGAGCATTCTGCATTAGTTAGTTGCCACCGAGGTCACTGGAGCAAGCTGTGGTGTTCGCCGGATGTTTCGCCGGAAAATTCTCAAAACCTCCATTTAAGCTCAAGGTAAGCCCTTAGATATATCTAATGACTAGAATGTTCATATAAGTCGTTTTTACGTTCATAATTTGTCATTTGGTTAGGTTTGTGTTTGACTTGCTTGAAGAACCAAGAATCATAAACCAGGAAATTGATGTTAAAACTATAAATTAATAATTCCAAAATGATCTATTTACCTTGGAAGACATTTCTATATAATTTAATTAAAGTTTGGTGGTTAAAAATGATAATACTCAAAACTGACCAGAGGAAGAAGATAATGAACAGTGGCCGAAAATCGATTATTCCTTTACTAAGAATCGATTAGAATTTTGTCCAGATAAGGATAATCGATTAATATGATTGATTATTTTAAATATAAAAATCGATTTAAAAAGTATTAATTGATTATTGTAAATATAAAAATCGATTTTTAGGTATTAATTGATTAGTTAAAATATAAAAATCGATTTTTAGGTATTAATGGATTATTTTAAATATAAAAATCGATTTTTAGGTATTAATTGATTATTTATATTGTAAAAATCGATTTTTATGAATTAATGGATTATTTATATTGCAAAAATCCATTTTTATGAATTAATCAATTATTTAAATTATATAAATCAATTGTTATAAATTAATTGATCATTTTAAATTATTTTTCCTCAAATCCAGATCCTGTTCCAAAAATATTTTGAAAATATATGCTCTAAAATCCTATTTTTGATATCAATTAATTATGAATAATATAAATATGATTTTGTATAATAAAGATGATGTTTTTGGCATATAAAACATTATGTGATGCATGACGGTAAGTTAGAGTGTTGACACTCAAAACTAGGCCACTACTTGCTATTGAATGTTATGTTAATTGATTACTATGATGAATGATTATTATTAATAGTTATGAATGATATACCCACTTGTATATTGATGATGATTATGAAGGATATCTAGAAGAACTCTAAGATATACCCACTTGTATATTGATGATGATTATTAAGGATATCTAGAAGAACTCTAAGATATACCTCCTTGACCAATTCATATTTCGGGTTAAAACACACGTACAGGATCCAGAACAGATAGCACCCATCCGACAGTTCCTGTTCGGTTGGTACGTAATCCACATGACTCATAGGGTGGATTATCGATTCCTATGTTCTGCATTAAACTATTTATAGTTTAAGGGCCTGGTTAGAAATACTGCCTTAGACCAGGAACAGCTAAGAGCTTGTTCTAAAATAATTTGGCCTAAGATTAAAAATAATTTAAGAGCACTGTTGAGATATTGGATAATGTATTTATCAAGAAATGACTTGGAATAAAATATTGAGAATAACATGAATGTTTGAATCATATATTGTGTGCATGATATCAAATGGTTGATTATGAATTGAGATTCAATTTATGTGGATGTTCGACGCTTTAGATATGCTTACTCAGCTTCACCGCTGAGCGTGTAGTGTGTTTTATTTGCTACACGCAGGTAGACAGAATGAATGATTGACATATTCCTGGAAGCAGAATGAGTGAGACAGTCGTGGTGGATTTATTGACAAAATAAATAATTATGTTTGTTATGAGAAATGTGTAAAAGTTGCTTCCGCATATTATTAAACACTCCATATTTCCTACAGTTATGTATGAAATTTTATTTATGATGAATAAAGTTATTTGAAAAGTTTTAAATTATACGAATACCAAGTTAATACTTTAGTCCGAATGGGGCTGCAGACCTGGACGGATTAGGGTGTTACAATCTTAGTTTATAAAATTAATATTTTGTGCTTCAAAATAGTCTATTTTTAATAATGTGGTTCTTGAAATTAATATCAATTATTTTTACCCGCAGGTTTTGGATGGATCAGATGATGGATGATGTACGAAACAAATAATGGATGGATCCCATGATAGATATAGAGTTAATGGATCGATGACGGTGAAACTCCACCTGACCTAAACCCACCCATTGTAATTCCTAACTGGAGCAAGAGTGAGGGAAGAAGGGAGTTTGAATTTTTGGTGCACCAATACTCTAGCGAGTCTATCGGTGGCTACGACGAATGACATCGAGTATGAATAGCTTTGTTGAGATCCTTGTTGCAATAACTTCAAGATGATATCAAGAGTGGGTATAAATAATTAACATCGGAAGTTTTGGAAGTGGTGATGGAATGCGAAGCTTCGACGAGTTTATCGAAGAAGAAATACCTACGTTTTTGTATTTCATATGTGTTGTGCGTATTGAATTATCTTATTTGATTTATATTACACTTTTTGAGTAAATGTGAACCGATTTGAAATCAGATTTCATCGACGCAATCAATCAATCCAGCTCTATACAACGATATAAATTTCAAGTATTACTCTATAAGAGACAATTTTCTAAATTCTCAATTCAGGGAAATTTTAGTAATTAATTTATTAATTATTTTAATTAATCAATTTTGATATACTCAATTTTGGGGCATTACAGAAGTGGTTGTTAAGATCGATCTAGAATTAGACCAATAGTCTCATTTGATCCTTAAATTTTTTGGTCAAAGACTAAGGCTCCGTTCCGTTCAACTTATTTTTTCTGATCTGATCTGATTTTAATAAGTTCTGATCTGATCTGATCTGATTCGATCTGATCTGATCTGATCTGATTAGATCTGATCTGATATGATCTGATTGGTTCTGATCTGATCTGATCTAATCTGATTGGTTCTGATTTGATTGAAAATTGTAATGATAATTCATATTATATAATCAATATTTTTTTATGATTATTTTTTAATGAAACAAAATTAATTAACTCATATATTAGAATAATCATTCATATTATAATGTAATAATATTTTTTATTTTATGATTTTTTTAATGAATAATATTGATTTAATATTTTAATAATTAGTTTATATAAACATTAGAATAATTATTTAATTTATATATGCACTAAAATGTTATTTAATATAGATAATCAATGTTATTAATAATCATTAATATTTTTATTAAAAGATCACATCCTTATATTATCAATGTTAAGCAA